AATTAAATTCACACATATTTAATTAGTCGTTAAACCCCGCAATTGCGCGTATTGGAAACCGTATTTTGAGTATTGTAGGGACCTTTTATTTTTTTTTTAATTATTATAATTGTATTATAACTACACTAATTTTTTTTCTTAATTGAGTATATAAATTTAAATTATTTTATTTGTGCATAATAATTTTTTCAAAACAATTAAAAAAGTATTTTTGTTAATTTTTTTCGTTAGTCGATGATGCATCTAACACTCTAAGAATACCAAATTACTAAATTATAATTTTTTTCTTAATCGAGTACATGAATTCTTTCTTCTTTTTTTTTAGTACATCAATTTTTTTTAAAATTGTCAAGCACACACTTCTATTAATTTCTACATTAATTAATGATGGGTTCAAATACAAAATTATAATTTTATCTTTTTTTTTAAAAAAAAAAAGAACTTTCTTTTCAAATTATTCTATCATTTCAAAATTTGACAAAAAAAAAATTTTAAAATTATTTTTACCTACAAAATTCCAAACTAAATTCAATTACGTTTTTTTTTTTTAAAAAAAAAAAAAAACACAAACAAATCTTCTTGATTCAAAATTTCATGTTTATGCTTCATAAAACTTTCATGTCAAAACCTAGCTATGTTTTTTTTTTTTTTTTTTTTAACGAGCAAGTCTAATTAAGTTTAGTTTAAAACATAATGGCTAAAAAATAACTTATGTTATTTCTTTATCACATTTTTAAGTAGTAGAATAATTTTCTTTTATTATTATTATTTTTATTTTTGGGGAGAGGGGGAGGATTTCCTTCTAACGAAAAGAAAGAAAAAATATATTCGGACATGTCATCGGTTAATAAAGAAATTGACGAAGTACTTGATTGATAGTTTTGAAAAAATTGATATGTGTAATTGAGAAAAAAATTTATAATTTAGTATTTTGATGGTAATGACACGTGATCGATTAACGAAAAAATTGACAAAAGTACTTGATTTATAGTTTTAAATTTTTGGTATACTCAAACGAAAAAAATAAAAATTCATATACTCAAATGAGAAAAAAATTAAATATTGGTGTATTATAATGTAATTATCCCAACTTTATACACACACCCACACACACATATAGAATGGTTAATTCACTTTCGTAGAATTGTTTAAAAGCAACTTAAAATGTTTTACTATTTTGACTTGACAGGAAAAAAATCATGGAATTAATTATTAGTGAAAATTTTGTATAACCTTCAAAAATCAATAATTTTGGACAAACGTATATATCATTTCTATGGACTACATAAGATCCTACTATTAGAGAATAATATAAATTATATCTTAAATTTTCATCTAACAACTTCATATCTTAAGTTGAGGTTAAGTTGTTGGGTTGACATTGTTATTTGACATGATGTCGAGTTTTAATGACCAAAAAGTCATAAGTTCGAATCTCACCATCCACATTCTCTCTTATTAAAAATTAAATAATTAAGCACAAAATAGTAATGAGCTTGTGTAAGTTCATAATGTTGTGATGGATTTATACAAGTTTCGATAATAGTATAAATCATGACTTAGAGCTTTACCTAACATGTTAAATTTTTTAGTTGACATTATTTTTTGACATTTACAACTAAAAATTATTGTTAGAAATTGTATAATTCTAGTCTAGTCGTTAGCATCCGCATTATGAGATAGTTTAATTTTTATCATTTGTTTATTTGTAAGCTTAATTTGGTTGTAATGATACATATGATTAGTCATCGGTTAACTCAATCAATAAATATATGAGACATAGTTCAAGATGGTAACAATCAATAAATATAGGCTACACGAGTTCAAAATGGTAGCGATGATTGTCAAATGATTATAGAACATAGTGGAAGATTCTCAAGCATTGTGTTCCTACAAAACAAGTCATTTCAATTGAGAGAGGGATCTTCCGATGCTTAAGTTAGTAGTTAGAATGTAGAAAATTAGCCCGAGAAGGCTCTTTTTTTGCTAGTATGCACTAGTTAATGTGTAATTTATTTTTTTAATTTAATTATAAATGAACCTAAATTAAATTACATAAAAAAATACATTAATAATATTAAACCTAAAAAAAACATAATTAAACTTTTTTAGTTTTACATTAACATAAAATTAATCTAAAAATTAACATCACTAAAAAAATAACACTTAACAAAATTAATCTAATAGTTAAGAAAATTAAATAAACAATTAAGTAATTTAAATAAATAATTAAGAAATTTACATTAATAATTAACATGCAACTTAACATAATTAAAATTAACATAACAAAAAAAAATTAACAACATTCAAATAATTAATCAACTAACAAATAACAAAATTAATCTACAAAATTATTAACATTTATTTAATTAAAAAAAAAAAAAACAACATAAGAGTTAGAGGGAGAAAGTTTTACCCGAGAGATAAGGAAAGTGGATTTGGTCCGATTTTGGGAGAGAAAGATACACCTAACTTTGTTGAATGATTTGGAGAGTTGCTCGGTAGTGTGGAGCGGCGTGGTTATTTGGTAGAGGAAAGGGAGAGGAATGGGGAAGATGAAAGGGGAGGGGGTATTTATAGGGGTAAACGGCAAATTTTAAGGGTGTGGGGGCGCGGGGGATCCACCCAAAATCGCCAATTAGCAATGAAATCCCGGTTCCGTCGTTAATTGGCGGATTTTGGGGGAAAAATCCCCTTAAAATAGAGACGGAATCTAAATTTCGTTACTAGTCCCTTCCAATATTAGTGGTGGATTACCCATCCGTTGCTATTTTTGTCTATTTTCTCATCATGAGCTTAAAAATAGTGATGGATATTTTTTCGTGGCTAATTATTGACGAAATCCATTGCTAAAGTGATGATTTTTTTTTTTTTTTTACCGTGTAAATTTGCGATAGAAAAACTACCGTCACTAATTTCTCATCGCTAATCCATCACTAAAGAGTCGGAAACATTAACTTTTTCTATCGATCACTAACGAGTCATTAATTTATCACTAATTAGAGATGGAATGAACATCGTCGCTAAAATTCGTCATTAATTGGTAAATTCCTTGTAGTGAATGAGTTTTCAACAACCCGAAGTGTTTGAAATGAGAGTGTTGTCATTCCAACTTAAGCCATCAATTGGGGCGAATTCATTATCTTAATTAAGCTAAGGTAAAAAAATGTCATTTTAGGAGTCCATATTTGTTGAGGATTGGACTAAAATTAATTAGTTTTTTTTTTTTAATGTGGATTGGACTTAGGTTTTTTAGTAGGATTAGACTAATTTTTTTGTAGCCCACATTTGACAAATTTTCTTTAGCTTAGTCAAAATTATGAGCCACTATTCAAGGCATCTTTTTCCACATTGAAAAAACATGTCGTATTTTAGTAATAAAACTCTAGAGAAGTTTCTTTTAAATTAATTTACCTATTCTTGTGCTTTTGCTTAGAATTTATGTATGTTATTCTTACGTTTGCTGAGGATTTTGTGTTTCAATGTATCCTTAAAATTGTTCATTCAAGATGTTGACTTTATTGATCAATAATTTAGCTTAAATTGTAATGGAGTTTCAAATCTTGTCTAAATTAATAGAATCTAAGGTTTTTCATTCCTAGAAAGATCTCAGCCTCATTAAACTTTAAGATTGAAAATTTCGGATTTCATCAAATTTTGTGCGAGAAGCTTCGACTTCTCTGCTTTGTGGGTACGCAAATTTTGGCAAGCATACACAAAGAGTGTAGACAATTCGGTTTGGTCTAAATAATCATAAAACCAGTGTCAAGTAAGAGATGGCAGAAGTGGATTCTTATGGTTTAGTTTAACCTTCTTAGTGTTACCGTCGGAATCTAAATTGTCAAGATTTTTGGACTCTTCAATGGAAAGAAAACTTTGAAATCGGAAAGGGAGCATTTTTTTAGTTTATTCATAAGCGTAAACCTCACGGTTAATTTTGTTCTTAATCTCGTTAAACAATATATTCTTTTCTTTTTTTTCTTTCTGAAAAAAAATGCATAATTATGTTACAAAATATATGATAAGATCACATGTTTTTTTTTTTAAGGGTCATTTAAATTTTTTATGATTTCTTTACTAAGATAATATATTTAACATTTTTTGTAATAGAAAGATGTAACAACAAACCAAAGACAAATCTAAAATTCTGTTACCCATAGAGGGAACCTATTAGATTAAATAACTTTCACGCTAAAAGGAATCAAGAGAACTAAATGATTTAGTGTCCTTACGAAGTCAATTGAATCTTGCACATTTTTTTACAACACTGCATTTTTTTTATATATATAATGCAAATGTTTAAATCGAGTTTACGCGCATCTCGATTAATCTCGTGAATCTTGAAGTTAACGATTATGTATGTCTTTAATGACCACAAAAAAAAACAATTAAAACTCAAATATGAGATCACAGAAAAAACAAACCTCTTGATATCAACTCTATCAACTCGTTGCCGTTGCACCATACAACATTGCATTTTGATACGTTTGGAGTATGAGAATTGATTTCTTCATCAGTCAAATGTAGTAAATTAAAAAGAGATAGGTAGGCTGATCATTTCATTTTATAGTAAATGCTTGTTATAATGTAGGTCGTGTTGAATTCTAAGATGAAAGGCTGGTCCCTTGCAAGTTAATTGCAACAGAACAGAGTGATCTTCATATTGCATGTGGAAGGACAGGTGTAAGAATTTTAACCTTCAACACCAAAAATACCCCAAACCTGAGCTTCCGTTCGTGCCACGTAATCCGCCGCTTTGCGTGCTGACGTGTCTCATCTTTCCAGCAGGTCGCATACGTGTCCGTCACCTAATAAAGCATTCTCCACGCGTCACCTTTACATACATAAGAAGAGATGCTGCTATTATGAAGTAGTGTACATATTTGAGCAAGTCTCATAGCTCGGGACCTCATCAAAGCCAAAAGCAAGCAAGAGTTATAAACTCATCTTCTCTTCTATATTTATTTTTCTGTGTAACTTGTGTTTTCAGTGATTCTGCCATGGCATCAAGGCAAGAGAAGGAGGAGAGGGCTGAGGCAGCAGCATGGAAAGCAGCATCTGATCTCGAGGACGTTAATAGAGAAAGAGAATACAATGAAGAACGAGAAGTCAAAATGGAGACGGAACAACCACAGCAAGAGAGACCAGGGGTGATTGGGTCAGTGTTAAGGTCAGTTGCTGACACCCTTGGGCATGCCAAAGCTGCTGTTGTTGGTAAGAGCTTTGATGCTGCTGATACAGCAGCTGAGAAGGCTAGAGAGAGTAAGGATTCTACTGCAGAGAAGGCAAAGGAGTATAACAATCATACGACCCAAAAGGCCAAAGAGACAACAGACTCAGCTGCGCATAAGATTGATGAAACCAAGGAATCAGCTAAAGAAAAGGCTGAGGAGACGAAGGAATCAACAAAGAAAAAGATTGGAGATTATGCAGATAAGGCAAAAGAAACAAAAGATGCAGCGAAGGATAAATTAGTAGAGTGCGAAGATTATTCGGCTGAGGAAGTCAAGGGCACAAAGGATTCTGTAAAGGGAAAGGCAGAGGAGTGTAACGCTTATGCAGCAGAGAAAGCTAAGGAAACAAAGGATTATACGAAAGGGAAGACAGGTGAGTATAAGGATTATGCTGCAGAGAAGGCGAAGGAAACAAAGGATTATACTGCAGAAAAAGCGAAAGAAGGAAAGGATGTTTCCGTTGGTAATCTTGGCGGACTAACAGAGTCGGCTAAAGATGCTGCAAGAAAAGCAATGGGGTTCTTATCTGGTAAGAAAGAAGAAGTGAAAGAGAAAGCCGCAGAGACTAAAGAGGCAACCAAGGTTTGTCAATCATCTGGACACTTTTTATTCTGATTTCACAACATATCCGTACTATATACTATCTTATCCTATTGATATATTTGTCATTTTAGGAAAAATCGAGTGAAACCGATGAGGCGGCGAGGCGTAAAATGGAGGAGATGAAGCTGAGAGGTGAAGAATATAAAGAGGAAGCTGCCCGAGAACAAGAAGCTAAAGACAATGAAGCTGAAAGGTATTAAATGATGTCGTTAGTCATCAAGCTCAATCAAGTTTTCTTTGGCATCTAATGAATCTAAATACTCTGCTGTTTTTTGCCAGACAAACTTCAACAAGAGACGCTATCTTTAGCAGTCTTGGACTAGGGACCATTAAAGACTCCACAAGAGGAAAGTGGACAATGCCAGAGGACATTGTTGAAGAAACAAAGGCTGCACTAGAGCACGGCCATACCGGAAGAAAGCGTTTAAACAAAGATACACAAAGGGTAGAGGTAGTAATCCCCCTTGAAGAGACCCCCACGGGAGCTGTGGCATCCACTCTAAAAGCGTCCGATCAGATGACTGGTCAGACTTTCAATGATGTTGGACGAACGGATGATGAGAGTGTTATTCGTGTGGAAATGGAATGCACTCCGAAAGAGAGCCAGAATCGTTGAGTGTTGAGACAAGGATCTTAAGCAGTATTGCATTCCATGTTGATCATCTTTTTTTTTCTTTTTTCTTTTTTTTTGAAAAAAAAAAAAAAAAAGAAACTTTCCTTGGACTTGTGTACCTGTTAGTTTTCAGTTGGTTGCACTTTTTTGTCGCCCATTTCTGTTTAAGCCCAGTTACATGCTTGGTGGGCAAGGACCAGGAATCAGATGTGTACGATTCTGAACTCCAATGTTAACTAATGCGAGGGCACAGAATAATATGTTATGCTTTAAATTTTCAGCTCCAACCTGTAAGCTGTTGTTAGTGGTGAAGGTAAAGGCAAAGGCAAAGGCAATTTTTTTTTTTTTTTTTAATTATTATTATTGGTTAAGAAACCGGTCAAGAGTTAGTATTATAATTTTTAAATCTAACTAATTAAATAGAATGGTTGTGAGCTGTTAGGGGTTGAAATAGTAGTGTGATCTGTAAAAATGATTAAGTAGAATAGAATGAATTTAATAGAATGGTTGTGAGTAGTGTGATCTGTAGAAATGATTAAGTAGAATAGAATGAATTTAGTAGAATGGGTTTGAGTTAGTATCATAATTTGTGAAAGTAACTTATTAGATAAAGATGAGTGAGTAGTGAGTTAAATAGAATGAGTGTGAGCAGTAAGAGGATGAAATACAAAGAGTTAGTATTGCTAGTATTATGTAAAAATTGCTAGTATTATGTAAAAATAACTAATTAAGTAGAATGGATTTGAGTAGTCAAAGGTTGAAATACAAAAAGTTAGTGTTGTTAGTATTGTGATCTTTAAATTAATTAAATAGAATGGATTTGAGGAGTGAGAGGTTGTTGTATTAGTTGAGATACAAAGTGTTAGTATTGTGATTTGTAAGAGTATAATTGATTCTTAAAAATAATAGATAACTAATCTATTAGATAATCTATAAAAATAACTAATTAAATAGAATAAATTTGAGTATAAAAGTAACTAATTAAATAGAATGGTAAGAGTATAATCAATCAAAAGTGTCAGTATTGTGATTCTTACAAATAATAGATAACTAATCTATTAGATAATCTATAAAAATAACTAATTAAATAGAATAAATTTGAGTATAAAAGTAACTAATTAAATAGAATGGATTTGAGTAGCGAGAGGTTGTTGTATCAATTGTAGGGATACAAAGTGTTAGTATTGTTGTTTGTAAAAGTAATGAATAATCAATCAAATAGAGTAGATGTAAGTAGTGAAAGGTATGAGAGAATCGGATAATATTGGTAAAACATAAGTTAAACGAGTATTATGTGAGAGGTTTGCGAGGAGAATATAATACTAGTAAGGGTAAAGTCAAATGGTTAGTAGTTGGATAGTATTAAGTGAGAGGTTGGTCAAAGTCTAAACTAATTGAGTTCTAAATGTTGTCCAACATGAGTGAGTGTTTTTAAAGAAGAGTTGATATAGGGTTTTTGAGTTTTTTCACTAGAGATAAAAAATTTGAATAATTTTTCTCAACGATATAAGGTTGGTATTTATTATAAATTCAATAAGGTATTTATTATTAGGAATTTAAAAAAGTTAGGTTTTTTTGAGTTAAAATGCTTCAACTTGCTAATAAAAATTAAAGTAATAATTGGATTTTTTCTTTTAAGAGACTATAGTCAAAGCTCCTCAAACCAATTATTCTAAAGCATTTCAAAGACATGATATAGGCATTGGTTCCGTTAGAATTTTGTGTCTATCTATGCACGATTCAAAGTTTTATACTAGATGATATCTATTTTCAATTCAATCTATTTATTGTATAACTTGGATTCATAATAAAATTAGTTACGTAATTGAGCATATACATTTAGCTTCATGCTCAAATAGTCTTACTAATAAGGGTGTTTATGTAATTATTTACGAGTGAGATGTGTAGCTTGGATCCATGTTAAAACTAAGAAAAACAACATGAATTAGCCTATAATAAAATTAGCTCAATTATTTAATTTTAGAAAAAAAAAATCGAGCATATACATTTAGTCCCCTACATGAACAGTCTTGCTAACAAGAATGATCATGCAATCATATATGGCAATATAAAGGAAAATAAAGTTGGAAAATAAATCCGACAATGAATATGGCATACTTGTCATGAGTCCTTCAATTAATATATAGAAAATAAATCCAACATGTGTGGTGATAAGCTTGCTACGAGCCTTCCAATACATAGTAATTCCTTGTAGGTTGGGCTCGAGCCTCTTTGTTCCACAAATAATGCAATAATATCAGTTTGCTTAATAGATTTGAATCACAAAAAGGCACGAATGTGGCTTTTTAGAGTGGATTTTGACTTTGAAAATGGTCTTTGACGGTTTTCCATCACCATTAAGTTGTGGAACTCTGAATTACTTTTCTAAATTGGTAAGGTTTGTGTCAAACGAATACCCATATTCAAAGTCATGACCTCTTTAACTTAGTTAGATGTGTTTGTCTTCCTATACAACCCTCCATGGCTTATCATGCCTAAAAGGATTTGTTCATGAGAGTGTTATAAAAATTTTCCTTACAGTCAAATACTTATATAAAATAAAACCCCAACTTTCAGATAAAACTTTTACTTCATAAATTTCTAACTTAAAGAGACAGAGCAAGGAACCAAGAGTTCTTATTTAAAGATTCCTTAAAAATCACAATGACATTGCCTTCCACACACGCGAGGACATAAAAGGTAAACCTTATGGTGTTATTTTTTTTTTAATCCTACTGCTCGTTTCAACCAGCCACTATGGTTGGATAAACCAGCATAATTACTGGTTGTGCAGACCAGCCCACTACTAGCCTTATAGACCAATACAATCGCTGATTACCTTGGCTGAGCATTCCAGAAAATCATGCCTTTTTTTTTTTAATCATCGTCAAACTATTTATCATCAATGAGAAGTCTTTTCTGATAAGTCGAAATTTCTTACTTGTCTTAAATCTTGACTTTACAATTTCCAATTGTGTTACAACTTTTAGCTTGTAAAAGCATTTTAACAAAGAAAAAGGTTTCTTTTAAAAACGAAAAAAGTTTTCTTCCGCACAAAAGCGAGACAAAAGAAAAACCTTTGATTTGATGATATTTTTTTTTTTTTTGTCTAACCATATAAATTTGTCATTGTCACTATATTTTGGTTCCTTACCAATCACGTCAATTTGACTTTATCATTTCATTTTAGTTTCTAACTCTTAACTCTGATTTAGACTTGTACTCTGTTTAATCCCTTATCAACAACACTAATTTATTCATGCCACTTTATTTTGGTTCTTACCCAACCATGCTTTTATATATATATATATATATATATAATATAAATTAGGTTAAGTGTATTGACTTGTTAAGACATGTCATAGCTATCACTTATTGTAATCGAATTTTCTAATTAAAAAAAAAATTGATTAAATATAAGTGGAGATGACACAGAATTGGCCAATTTTTAGATTTTATTATTTTTATTTTACTTATTATTATTTTTTGTTAGGAGTCATGTATATTCAAATTTCTTGTCATATTTGGATTCTTTTTTTTCTTTTTTTTTCTTTTTTTCTTTTTTTAATTTAGAGTTCTTTTCCTATTAGGAGTCTAATTTGGCAATATCCTATTAAGCTCTATAAAATTATTTATTTCTTTTTTGGAGTTAGAGTCCTTTTTTTCTAAATTGAAATCTTTTTTCCTATTCAAAATTTAATCTAGTTGTTTTTAGTAGTTAGTTAAATAACCCTAAGGTTACACTACTAGGCTATCAAAGCCTTATTTTACGTGTCTCTAATACTAAGTCAAAATAATAAAATGTTTGAATATAATTTTTGAGATTTTTTCTCTCAAACCTTGTGCTACTCTTGTGATTATCTTAGAGCTCATATTTTTTTGTATCCTTCAATTGATCTCTCGATGTGGTGTATTATCATTAGCTATGGTTGTAGTGGACTTTTAAATCTTTTCAAAATTGAATAAAATTAGGTTACTTTTGGTTGATTTTATGCTTAAGTTGCAAAAAGGTTTTTAACCTTGCCAAAATCAACTAAGTCTAAGTTATTTTGATTGAACAAATCTAGTGTCAACTTGGCATCAAAGTTTTAGTTTACTTTCCTTACATGTTCTTGACCACAATTTGTTAAGATGATTCTAAAAAAACATCCAAATTGAATGTCCGTGAAATATATATTTGCAATATGAGTGTGCGCATCTATGAAAAGGACTTAAAGAGAGGATGTACATTTATGATTTATGGTAAAGAAATGAAGAGTTTAAGAGGATGATACGCATATGCTAAAAGAATAAAGAGCTTGAGAGGATGATATATTTACGGAAAGGGAATGAAGAGTTTAAGAAGATGGTAAAATAGGCATATGGCCAACAATCGAAAGGCAAGAAGGAAAATAAAGAAGAAAAATTCTAATACAAACATATGATCTTGAAGCTATATATATATATATATATATATATATATATTATGATTCTAGTTTCTTTATGGATTTAAATCAACCTCTAAAATATAATGAAGATCACTTTGAACTTGATTCATGTGAAAATTTTGATTTTTTTTATTTTTTGGATGAATTTGAATCAACCTCCAATTTATGATGTTTTTCTTAATGATGATTATGATACTAATTGATGCCGATTGAGATGCTTAAACTCTACCAAAATAATAATAATAATAATAATAATACAAACACAAAAAAAGAACTAAAAATTTACTTAGGCTGAATACTTCCTAACAACAATTCAGCCCCATAACAACCTCAATTAATCAATAAACACACCTTAAGTAATCAAGCAACTCAAATAACCCACGAGGGCACATCTAGATATAAATCACTCCTCCTATTGTTGGATTTTTCTGAACTTTCAAATGTAACCTAAATATATTAAAACAAGTGTGAATTATAAAATTTCAGTCCAAACAACAACCTTGGCTACTCAATCTACTTTTAAAGACGATAGTGCGAATATAGGATTAAGTATGATTCTTCTTCAATAAAATTCAC